TCTCTCTCTCTCTCTCTCTCTCTCTCTCTCTCTATATATATATATATATATATATATATATATTAAAGGAATAAAGTTACCATATATAATTTGTGATGACCCAGAAGGTCATCTTTAAATTTAATAATTATTTCTGTGTACTAAGACCTCAAATAGCACTAATCATCGTTCCTCGACTTGCGTGCGTAGTCTGTATAATTTTTCGAAAAGTTTTTATATGAAAATTTGATTAAAATGTGAAATACAGTTTTAAAATTCAATTAAGTTGACTTTGGTCAATAGTTTGAGAAAACGAACCCGGACCAATATTTTGATAGTTCCAGTAGGTCCGTATCGTGATTTTGGACTTGGGCGTATGCCCGAAATTTAATTTGGAGGTCCCTAGCTCAAGTTATAGCCATTTAATGGAAACTAGAAATTTAAAGGCTAAAGATTTTCAAAGTTTGATCACGGATTTGACTTTATTGATATCAGAATCGGATTGAGATTTCGAAAATTGGAATAGCTCTGTTATGTCATTTATGACTTGTGTTCCAAATTTGAAGTGATTCCGGATTCGTTTAATATGTTTTGGCACGAGTTTTGCAAAGTGAAAAGTTTGAAAAATCAAATGTCTGAATCGAGGTGTGAATTGTAATTTCGATGTTATTTAAAGGGATTTGTAATGCCGAGTAAGTCTGTATTATGTTACGGGACTGGTTGGTATAATTGGATGAGGTCTCAAGGGGCTCGGATGAGTTTCGGACATGTTTCGGATCATCTTTGCAAAAACTGTCAGTTCTGGTTCTGGTGTTTCGCACCTGTAACTGTTGGAGCGCATGTGCGGCTCCGCTTCTGCGGAGAGCCTCGTCCCTTCTGCGATTTGGAGCCTGGGCAGCCTACTCGCTTCTGCGAGAAAATAGTCGCAGATGCGACCACCGCTTTTGCGGCTCGGCGTTCGCAAATGAAGTCTGAATCGATGTGTGAATTGTAATTTCGATGTTGTTTAACGTGATTTAAAATTTTGAGTAAGTCTGTGTTATGTTACGGGACTGGTTGATATAATTGGACGAGGTCCCAAGGGGCTCGGGTGAGTTTCGGACATGTTTCGGATAATTTTTGCAAAACCTGTCAGTTCTGGTTCTGGTGTTTTGCACCTGCCACTTTTGGGGCGCATGTGCGGCTCCGCTTCTATGGAGAGCCTCGTCGCTTCTGCGATTTGGAGCCTGGGCAGCCTACTCGCTTCTGTGAGAAAATGGTCGCAGATGCAACCACCGCTTCTGCGGCTCGGCGTTTGCAAATGCGGAAGGTACCACTTCTGCGGCTCCTTCATGCGCTTCTGCGCAGCCGCAAATGTGGCTCAATTTCTGTAGATGCAAAAATGCTAGACAAAACACATAAAATCGGAAGTTAGCCATTTAACTCATTTTTGAGTTTTGGGTTTCGAATTTAGGCGATTCCAAAGGGATTTTTTACGACTTTGAATTGGGTAAGTGTTCTATAACCAAAAGTGATTATATTTCATAAATCCATGTCTATATTCATCATTTTATTTCGGATTCAGATGGAAGAAATTAGAATTTTTGTAAAACTTTCCAAAAATAAAAATTTATGATTTGAAGGTCCATTTGACATCGGAATTTGGTAATTTTTATATGGTTGAACTCGTATCGGAACAAGTGTTAAGATTTTGTGAGTTTTTCCTGGATTCGATGCGTGGGTCCCACAATCAATTATTAAAATAAATTTCAGATTTTAATCCGAAAAATTAGTAAATACATATGGAAGTAATTTCTACGATTTATATTGATTATATTGAATTGTTTATGACTAGATTTGAGAAATTTGGACATGAATTCGCGAGAAAAAGGTTTATTGGAATCTTGAATTTGGTTGCAAAGCGAGGTAAGTGTTGTGGTTAACCTTGACTTGAGGGAATAGAACCCTTGAATTATTTGTTACGTGAATTTCATGTGCAACGATGTATAGGCAAGATGACGAGTGCCTATACTTTGTCAAATTAATTGTTTGCATAATTATTTAAAAATCATAAATTGTTAATTATTTCTCTCATATTCCTTGTCAATTATTAATTCTTGAATTCATGCAATAATTGTTACATGCTTATTTGATTTATGTGTCTTAATTGCGACTTGACATTTAGCATATTAAATATGAAATTGCCTATTTTCTCCCTGATTTTTCATAATTAATTGCTTCTTGTCATTACTTGTTTCCTGAATAAATTATAATCATTGTATTCTTTGTTGCCTAATAATTTTTTATTGAATGTGGTATTTATTGGAGTATTTTTATTACAATCAAGAGTTGTTAATTTTATATTATTGGAGTGGGTTACACGTCGCAACGGGATGAAAAATGAATATATTGGGGGATCGGGTTGCACGCCACAACGCATTATATTTTAATTTTATATTGTTAGAGCGGGTTGCACGCCACAATGAAAATTTATTGAAGAATTATATTATTGGAGCGGGTTGCACGCCACAACGAAAATTGATTGAAATAGTAATTGGTTATGACTGTCGAGTTGGTTTCAACTGTTAAAATGAGTTACATGTTTTATTTCTATTATTGTTGTTATTACTATTATTGCGTACAAGTTAATGTAAATGACCTGCCTTAGCCTCGTCACTACTTCGTCGAGGTTATGATCGGTACTTACAGAGTACATGGGGTCAGTTGTACTCATACTACACTCTGCACTTCTTGTGCAGATTTCGGAATTGGTCCTAGTGGCGTACTGTAGATTTGCTCGGATTCAGCTATCAGTGGAGACTTGAGGTATAGCTGCACGGCGTTCGCAGCTCTGAAGTCCCCTTCTACTTTATTTTAGTTGTGTGCCTTCTTTCAGACAACTTTATTTTGTTCAGACCCTTGTTGTATTATTCTACAAGCTCGTGCACTTGTGACACTAGTTCTGGGATGGTATTCAGACATCGCTTGTACTATGGCGTATTCACTATATTTCTGACCTTATTTCAGCAATTGTTTCTTTGATATTAATTAATTTAAGAATTTTGTTAAGATGGCTATTATTATTCTAACGTTGGCTTGCCTAGCAAGTGAAATGTTAGGCGTCATCACGGTCCAGAAGGTGAGAATTCCGGGTCGTGACAAGTTGGTATCAGAGCACTATGTTACATAGGTCTCACGAGTCACGAGCAAGCTTAGTAGAGTCTGAAGGATCGGTACAGAGACGTCTGTACTTATCTTTCAGAGGCTATAAAGTTTAGGTACAATACCACTTCTTTCTTATTCTGACGTGCAATATTATTCTATCATCGATGATTGAACCATTCTATTCTTATTCTCTCGTAGATGGTGAGAACACGTAATATATCTACCGACGGACATGGATCAGAGCCCCCGGTGGCAACTATGGCAAGGGGTAAAGGTCGAGGCCGAGGTCGCGCTAGAGGCCGAGGTAGAGGCAGAGGTAGAGCTCAGTCTACAACTCGAGCAACAACACCTGTTGTAGAACCTCAGGTAGATTTCGAAGCATGGGTTCCAGCTCAGACTGTACATGTTGTACCAGTTCAGGTCCCGAAAGGATTCATAGCTACTCTAGTGCTTCAGGACGCTCTAGTCCATTTGGTGAGTCTTATGGAGGGCTTGGCCAAGAATGGAACATTTCCAGTAGCACCAATCGACTCACAGGCTGGAGGAGGAGCACAGACTCCCACTACTCCTGCTTTGGAGCAGATGGCTCCCCAATATCAGGCTCCAGTAGCCCCGCCAGTTGGGGTAGTTCTGCCAATTGTTGTGGCACAAGCCGGTGATAGGCCTGCCATGTCTTTTGAGGCTTTATTGAGGTTGGACAAGTTTACTAAGCTCTTTCCAGTTCACTTCAGTGGTACATCTTCTGAGGAACCACAGGATTACCTTGACCACTGCCATGAGGTATTGCGGAACATGGGAATAGTTGAGACCAATGGGGTTGATTTTATTGTATTTCAGATGACGGGTTCCGCCAAGAGGTGGTGGAGAGATTATACGTTGACCAGTCCAGTTGGATTGCCTGCATTGACCTGGGAGCAGTTCTCACGGCTATTTCTTGAGAAGTTCCTCCCTATCACATTGAGAGAGGATTTCCGCAGGCAATTTTAGCTTCTACAAGGGCAGTATGACTGCTACTCATTACAAGACTCGTTTTGTGGATCTAGCCCGTCATGCTCTCCTTTTACTTCCTACTGAGGGAGAGAGAGTGAGTAGGTTTATTGAGGGACTTACTCACCCTATTAGGCTTCAGATGGCCAAGGAGACCGGAAGTGAGATTTCCTTTCAGGCGGCTGCTAATGTTGCGAGGAGGATCGAGATGGTTCTTGCATAAGAGAGAGGGCAGGGGTCTGATAAGAGGCCTCATCAATTCGGTAGGTTCAGTGGTGCCTCGTCTGGAGGC